CAATCAGCCGGCTTGAAGGTACAGGAGCAAGGCAGAGGCGCACTGCAGACAAGGGAGCAAAGCAGAGGGGCACTGCAGAGGAGAATCAGTTCATGGCAAAGGGGGCAGGGGGCAACAATCTGCAGCAAAAACAACAATCAGCAGCCTGCCCCTTCTTTTCATCCCACCTACCTACCCTTTTAGGTGGTGCCACCCACACTCAGAACTATGCTAAGCCAACCAGTGGGCTAATTCAGTAATCACATACCCTTAATCCCAGCAAAACACACCCTAGATCTAGCCACCTCTGAAAGCCTTACCTATGACCATATGAGGCTTTGAGGGACATCTAGATATAAGTCATAGCAGCTATCTTCAACCAAAGGCAACTGACCAGGGTCACTTCTGGTCCCAAAGAGTAAGTGGTTCAGTATCTTGGCTTATCCATGCCACATGGGAAATTCTGCTCAACTCTATTGTCTATCCTGCATGATGATACCAATTTAGATTTCCTTATACAATACTCCTATCTTTTAACTCTAAATTGTTAAAAAAAATACTAAAACTCCTTGGACTGACATTCAACATTAAAGCATGGAATTAGAAGAAACCTCATGAGTCATTTAATTTTTTTCTTTTATTTTACAGAATGACAAAGTGAAGTTTGGCAAGGTTAAATAACTTGTCCAATGCAACTTGCCAGGAAACTGCTATTCACCCTATCCACTTTTCCTCTTACATTCAGTGACAAAGTCAAGTTAAAGTGCCACACCTTGTCTGAACTGTCCAGTTCATGCCACTGGGAGGTGATTGCTTCCTCTAAACTCTAACTTCTCATTCAGATATTTTATAGGAAGAGGTAACAGATAAAGACTTGGGTTTTTCAGTATGAGCTTCCCTATATTAGGTGAGATAATCAGATACTGGGATATCAGATTTTATAAAAGAATTATTATAAATTAAGATACCAATCACTATTAGAGAGCAATTAGATGTTACTATTTAGATTGGCTTCTCAATATAATTAATTTTTTTTTTCTGTGAAAGGTCTAGATTGTAAATCTATGAAGGCCACATTGTTTGTGTTGCAGTTTTTCATTTTTTTCTGGTTTGCTTAATATTGTTTACTTTCTTATTATGCATATAAAAACCATAACTTCTAATACAAAAAGACTGTTGTGATTTGGGGTTTTGCAAGAGAAAGAGGACACGTATTTTACAAAATTTTATAATGAATCACCCAACAGACTATATACAAAGAATGCAGGAAATCTGTCTACACACTAAAGATCAAAGACTCCAGCTGAGAGCCTGGATCCAATGGTAATGTCCTGCTTGAGTCCAGCTGAAGACCTAGAGCCCATAACAGGGCCTCCCACAAGTCTAACTGGTGGCCTAGAGCCCACGACAATGTCTCATGCAGGTCCATTTCATAGATCTGCATTGGGAAGACCTAAAGGTGAGTGGTGGAAGCTACAAAGTCTATGCCAGCAGGATCTGCACTAGCAGGCTGAGGGGTCTGAGCTGGAACCAGGAAGCAGTGTTTGATGTAAGAACCAGAGCTCCCCATAAAAGTACCACAGCCATCTTCAGCCACAGTGATGTTCCTAACTCTTCTGAGAATGAGGAAAACAAAGTTCCCATCAGAAAAGTCAACACAACAAGCTTCTTCAGGAGACAGGGCTGTACACCATCTTCCCCTCCAGAGCCAAGAAATGATGCTCAAGGTGAAGATCACAGCTCCACCAAAGTGAACCTTGCAATTCTTGGTGACAAGGTCCCAAACTCCTTTGATGATAAGAACAGCCAGTTCATCAGGAAAGCCAGCTGACAAACTCCTCCAAGAGAACCAACAGCTCCCAACAATTCCCAACAGCTTCTCTCCTTCTCCAGTTCTGTCTCTTATGTTGCTGCCAACAATCCTCAGGTGGTCCTCCCACACCCAGCACCAGCAATTTATATTTGCCTTCCTAATTTCATCTCCCTGAGCACTGCTTCCCTACTAATTAATATCACATTGCATTATTATTTTCTTAAATCTTTGAAAAACTGTATTTTAAATTGTCCTTAAATCTAACTTTTGCAAAAATATCTCCTGCTGTCTTACTCTTCTCTCGTTGCTGGGACTAATACCCGACACTCAAAATGAAGGAAGGAAAGGTTTATTTAGCTCACAGTTACTGGAGGTTTCAGTCCACACTCAGCTGGCTCCAAGGCAGAGAGCAGCACATGGCATAGGGCAACCTTTCTTGGCAGTGGCAAAGAGCAGAGAGCACAAGGGAGAGGTAGCAGCAGCTCAAGCAGCTGGCTTCTCTTCCCACCTTACATTGTAATACAAATTACCTGCCCCAGGGCAGGTGCAGCATCCATACCCACAATAATCAATCACAAACTCCAGAGGCTGCCCCAAGACTGCATGAGGCTTTGGGGGGACACTTAGATACAAACCATAACACCTGCTTAGCTTCTGAAAACTTATCGTGTTTTCAAGGAACCGTACTCCTGTATTATGTGTCCATTTGCTCTGCTCAAATGTGTGAGTAAACTACAGTTACCCACTCTCTCATAAAAGCACATTTGGGGGGGAACTACCCACTCGAGCCCCTCTCCTGTCCATCTCTCGGACAGGAGCTTTCTTTCCCTCAATAAATACATTCTGCTCATAACCTCCATTTGTTCCTAAAATTCATTCTTTGGTTTTAGAGAACACGAACTTGTGCAGGTCAGGTGGGGAGATCGTTTTTCCCTATGTCACTTGGAGGTTCCCTATATGGTTTGGAGGTCACCCACCCGAGATCAGTTTTTCTCCCTGTATCACAAGCACAGGAACAGTGGTTCGATCCCCAGCACCACATGCTGCACCAGCCCCACTCCCAGAGCATCCTGAGCCACCAGAGTCCAGGGGTAGTGCAGCAAGCCTGTAATCCCAGGGCTGGAGAGGCTGAAAACAGGAGAATCACCATGAGTCTGAGCTGCAATAGTGAGACCCTCCAACAACCAAACACATTTTAAAAATAAATTAATAAATACTGACTAAAATTGTGACAAAAAAAAAAAAAAGCAGCACATTTGGGTTGTTTCCAGTGGTTTTTTTAAATAATTAACCGTGATGCTATTAATTTTTTTATAGCTTCCTGATACACATACAAAAGTTTCCTAAGTGGAGTTGCTGGATCATAAAAGTATGTATCTTGGTTACTTTTCTCTTGTTGCTGTGACAAAATACCTGACACCCAAAATTAGGGAAGGAAAGGTTTCTTTAGTTTACAGTTAGTGCGGGTTTCAATCCATACTCAGCTGGCTCCAAGGCAGAGTGGCACATGGCACAAAATAACCTTTCATGGAGGCTGGCAAAGAGCAAGAAACAAATGGGAGGAGTAGCAACAACAGCAACAGAGAACAAGTCTGTCTTCCTTAAATTGCGTTTAGGCTATATGTCCCCGGCTGGGTGTAGTACTCACATCCATAATCCCAGAAGCACTCACACCCATAATCCAAGTAGATCATGAGTTAATCAAAAACTCTAGAGGTCTGCCCCATGACTGCATGAGGCTTTGGGGGGGGACAACTGGACACAAACCATAACAGTGGGAATGTTTATCTTTTAATGCTGTGCCAAGTAGCTTTTTCAAGCAGTTAAATCAATTTATATTTGTATCATTGTACAGAAATTCTTACCTAATATACATATCTCCCACAATTTGAAGTTGCTACATTTGTTTGTCATTTACTGGACAAAAACAGCATCACTTGGCCTTTTTGTTTTTGTATTCTCTAAATTCATAGATTGAGCATCTTTTTATATATATTGATCATAGCACTTCCTCTTCCATATTGATATTTCTTATCTAGCTTTGCTTTTCAATCATCAGCCAACAAAACCTCATTTGTATTTCCTCCTTATACATTACTTTCAAGTACCACAGATTACTTTACAGTTGCCATTTATACTTTACACCCTCCCTTTTAGATTACTGACAGTCTAGTCAGTAATGCTTTTATAAACCACTTATTACATAGATGGGCTTTGGGTAATTTTCTACAGATAGCTAGCTATTCCTATCCCTGACAGATTAAGGGTATCCTATTATTTCTGAGGGTGCATCATTTTGGGAGTATAGACCTTTACCCTTAAAAGTTCTATCTGCCCTACTCACCTGATATCTAAAGGTGAAACCATAGTCTAGCTACTGTTAAGCCACTGGTCCCTACACCGTGCTAGGCATAGTGAGTACACTGAATGAATTTTTAAACGATTTGTACCTCTGTGTATGGAGACCGTCCTGAAAAAACACCTTCCAGCGGGCCCAAGCACTGGGCGCTAGTGGGTTTCCCTTCTCTATCCTTGCCACTTTTGAAAAAAGAACTCTATCGTTTTTGTTTTTGTTTTTTCCTACAGTGAGGGAGCAACGGATATCGGTGCTCTCGTTTTACAAGAGGAATGGAAAACAGGCCACCAGCAAAAGGGTACCGGGAGGCGACTCACAAGTCTCTGAGCCCGGGCGTCTTCCCCGGAACGAGCCTTTTCTGATTAATCACATTTTTCTTCACTTAGGCTGTAGCTCAAACCACGTCTATATTCATGGTCACGAGCTCTCGTTCACGTTTTCTGAGAGAAAACCAAAACCACATTAACATGCGCTATATAAACACAAAACTGTACAAACAAGTACACAACACGCTGAAAAGCACAAACACACCCACGTGCTTCGATCTTCTCCCGCGGCTCTGCGACTTTGAAAATTGAGCAGAGAAAAATCCTATTAGCATCGGGTCTCACACTTTCGACAATCACTTCGCAAAATAAAACTTAAAATATTTTGAAAGAACTCATCAAAACAGAAAATACTATTTTTGTTTGTTTGTTTCACGTGTGATCTGGTCTGTATGCTCTTAGAGGATTTATTTTGAGTTTCTCGGTTGATTTTGTCCTCCAGAGTCTGCGCCGAAACTGCGAGGTTTCCGACCGGCGGCCGGAGCGGCGGCGCGCGGCAGACGTCATCCCGCGGGGCGGTGCGACGCAGCCGGCAGGGGCTCCGCGTGTGGTGACGCCGGTAGCACCTCCGTGGCAGCCGGGCTTCACGCTACCCGTTGCTTTGCGCTGGTCCGCTCTCCTCAGTCTCGCGCGGCTATGGCAGACGACCTCGGAGACGAGTGGTGGGAGAATCAGCTGGCAGGAGCAGCCAGCAGCCCAGGTACGCTCGCCTGCGTCCCTCCTCGCCAGCCCCTCGGTGCGGCGCAGCCCGGCCGCCCTGTCAGTCACCGCGGTCGGCGCCGAGGCCCTATGTGCGGCTGCGGGGGCGCGCCCCTCGCGGGGCGTTGAGGCTACACGGAAAGATGAGGAACCGATGCATTCGGTTAGGAAGAACCCCTTTACCCGCTGTTTTCTGTTTCTTTTCCTTTTGAGATTGGACAGACCAGTTTTCGTGAATTGAAACACTCTTGCTTGGCAGATGAGGGTATCTTTGAACTAGCTTCAGTCCGCTTCAGTTCAAATCATGACTCTCTCATATTCTGATAGTCTGTGCTCTTCCTCGGCTATCAAATGAGGATAGTTGTGTCTTTTTAATAAAGTTGTGAAGATTAAATGATCGTAATGTAAGTTAGACGCTTTAGTCGGTAGTGATGGTACATGTTTTTAATCCTGCCGCTTGTGAGGCTGAGGCATGATCGTCTGGAGTTCGTGTCCCCCCTGGGCTACATTAGAGAAACCTTTGTCTTAATAATAATAATAATAATAATAATACACATTGGCCAAGCAATGGCTGTGACTCATCCACATGGCTGACACTGACAAAGGTTCTACAATCTGAGGTACAGGATCTCAGGATAAATCCTGAGGGGATTTCACTGACATTCTCAGACCCAAAAGCTACAACTCTTGTTGCATAGGTCCTGCTTTACCTTGGTCTTAACCATCCAGTAGAAAAGTATGAAGACGAAATATAGGAAGTAAAGCCATGCTGTTAAGTTGAGCTGTGGGGGACTCAGGTCAATAATTTCTGACATTACCAGTTAAAAAGAAGACCCAATGCTATTATGGGCTACTGGACTCTTTTAGAATATTTTGCTGAGTTTACACACCTATAATATTCAAATAACGGAACTGAGAAAAAAAGGGGTATACAGATGAATGTCCATTTTGTATCTGTGTATTTAAAGTGGTTGGGATACTTATAGTTACATTCTCTTAATGAATAGAATGATTTGTTCTAATGGTGTTTGTAAATAGGATCTCAGGTCCGCATCTTGTACAGCAGTTAACCACTAAGAAGAATATATGCAGTGTATTGGTTATTGAAACTGTCCTACCGATTTGATTTGAAACTGTCTCATTGCTGTTTATCAATAAAATTATGAAAAAATAAAAAGAAAAATAATAATAATAATAATAACCAAACAACAAAAATCCCGCAAACTACACTATTTTGCATACATACTAAACGTGCAGTACATATAAGCTGTTAGTTTTTTTTTCTGTCATCATGTAATTTGAAGGACATTATTTGAGCCTGAATAATCATCTCTTTTAATTCACCTACTTTAAAGATAAGCATGATCTCAACATGTTGAGAAGTCCACATAATGTTAGGAATAAGCCTAGAATTTATCTCAATTTAAATAATTTTTACTGTGCTGTGATATCCATTCTGGATGCATGAAGAGTGGTAGTCATTTCCCATCCCAGATTGACTTTGAACTTTTAAAGCCCTGTAATGCTTAATATGCAGTTATCATTAGATCATCAGATCCCCTACTTAAGTTCCTTCTAGCTAAAAAAATAAACTTTGTAAATTGTTGACATTAAATTTAACAGGGGCTTTTGCTTTGTTAACTGTTTTAAAGTAAGCATATGAATTTCTTTGCCATCTGTTTGATGACTTCCTATTAATCTTTTTACGGTAATATGTATAGCATTTTCAGTTTGGAAAAAAAATCACAGCTGAATAAGTCAGTTTTTTGTTTGCTGGTTGGTTGATTTGTTTATATACTGGCTGTTAAACCCCGGGCCTTTGCGCTGAGCTACATCTCTAGCCATTTATTTTTGTATTTTGAGTCTCTAAGATGCAAAGTTGCCCAGGCTGGATTTAAATTTGCAATCCCCTGGGTCAGCTTTCCAGAGTACTGAGACTACAGATTTCTTGATTCTTCCTATTGGGGAAAGATCAGCCTAAACTATTTGCATTAATATTTGAATTAATTAAATAGAAATAATGCCTTATTTCATAGAAAAGGTAGTTGTATAATGCGTTTATTCCTACTGGGCATGTTGCTTGCCTATAAAAATAAACATCTTTCCCTTTCACTTGTTCACATCTCATTTATGATAGTGGGCAATGGACTATTTCTGTCTGTGGTCAAGAAATATATGTTGGTTATACTTTATATAACACCTGTGTAACATCTAGCAACTCCTTACTACCTGGCCATCACAAGACCTGGTGTTTTGGCTATTCTCACATTTTCTTAGATCTGTACATAACTTAAGATTTTATGATTCTTTGAAGAGCTGTCATCACTTCTTGGCATTTTGGTGAAAATCAAGTGAATATCTGTCTTTTAAAAAATGTATTTTTGCAGGCTCAACAGTCTCACATAGATCAGACTCATAGTGATTCTCTTTTTGACCTCCCAAGCTCTGGCATTACAGGCATGTGCCACCATGCCCAGTCTCAATCTCTGTCCCAGCGTGCCCTGGGGGCGGGGCCACAGCTGGGGATTGAACCCAGCTGCTGAGCTCTGCCTAAGCAGGCAAGATCTGTGATTTTTGTATTGGAATTCTACATTGCACTGAAGCCCATTGGCATTAGGTGGTGTCTGGTAGATATACTGGTGGAATGAATGAATACATGTGACGTGTGCCAGCTTCTATATAGCACTGTTGGTGATGACATATGCAGGTAGGTACATACATTTTTCTAAGTGTATGTATCGAATCTAATCACTTTTAAGAGTGCAAGACTATATAGTATTAGAATTTTGCTAGGATTGTTCTGATCTACCTCAAATGTCTGGTCACTGTATGGTATTATTGGTAGTGATTGGCACAGAATAAAATAGCTGAGAGTTGTCAGTATTGAGGTAGTGGGCAACCCATGGTATTGTACACATTAGAGCCCAGGATCATGTAATGGTTATTTACTTAATTCATGTCACTTATTTCCTTATTCTCTGCCTACCCTGAAAAACTACATGAAATGACAGTAGTTAACAATAGATAGCAATACATGTAGTAGAATCATAATTTCAAAACATTATTGCTGACTGAGTTGATCCAATGCCTGAGATGTTAATGTAGTTGACTAACTTGGTAACTTTCAGTGTGAAACAAACCTCAGCTACAGCCTGGGTGTTTTGACTTACAGATGGATCAAAGCTAAGAGTTGAGTTAGTAATCACTTGATCATACACTGATTACTAATTGTTCCCCCTTCGTATTCCAATGATAATGTCTGTTCAATTACCAGAAGAATCTAGTGTGACTGAATATGTGAGTCTGGAGCCCCAGCATTGAGTCTGGGCTGGAGAAAGAGATTTAGGAATAACTTGCACACAACTTACCTTTAATGAGGTTGTTCTTAACTTTTTTTTTTTTTTTTTTAATGTATTTGGTACTGAGTTTTGCTATGCAGCTCAGACTCCTACTGATCCTCCTGTTTTCAGCCTGCCCAGTACTGGGATTATAGGCGAGTGCTACCATACCCAGTCTTGGTGGCCAGCTCAGTGTGCCCAGGGGTGGGGCCGGTGTGTCTGTGGTGCCAGTGATAGAACCCCAGGCCCTGCACTTGTCTAAGGAGGTGCTTAGTCTGCTGAGCTATTTTGCCACCCTTGTTCTTAGCATTCTACATGTCTCAGCCTCCAAGCTTTTTGAGGAAAGTTTTTCATATGCTTTCTTAGCTCATTATGAGGTTTTGTTTTGTTTTTTGGATTTTTGAGATAGGTCTGATTATGCAGTCCAGGCTGGCTTTGATCCCACTTAATTACATTGATCATAAACACTCAATACTCTATAAACTTACAGCATGTATACCGATACAGTGGGCTGTTTGTTATTATTGAAAATGTTAAAAGGTTTATTGTCACTGGTCTACTATGTGCCAGATACTATTTTGATTACCTTTCATGCACTGACTCATTTAATCTTCAAAAGTGCATTGTAGGTTAGCAGATTCTATTTTATACATGGGGAAATTAAGGCATTGGGAGGTTAAGTGATTTGCCCAGTGTTACTCTGTGAGAGAGCAGTGATTTGTAAGTAAACAATCTGAAATGAGAATCATTTTCATAATATATATTCTTACATTTCTCATAATAATTATTCCAGTCATTAAAGGTAAGAACCTCATCTCTAAAAAGTACAGCCTCTGACTGATTTAAAGAAGCTAATGATTTATAAACCTTTTTGTTTATATCTATATTATTGTCATGATGCATCTGTTAACTCTCATTGGGCTTATTCAGAGGTACAAATGAGCAGTTTTGCCATTGAAGTCTTTCCTTGGTAAACCAAGATCCAATTTCTGCGTTTTTTCCCAAACCTATATTTTCTCCTGACTTCCCTATTTCAGTACACTAAATCCTTATGTCAACTACCAGATTTCACAAAGGCTTAGTAGTTTATTTATTAGGCTTATTTGTAGGCTTATTTATTTCCTCCATTTCTCATATCTTATCAGTCATTTTTGTTCTCTCCAAAAGATATCATGAATCTTCCCTTGCCTTTTTGCATTGGTATACACACTTTTGCCTTTATTTGTTATAACCACTGCAGTTAATCTTCACCAGAGTTCCCAGTTTGAATCTTTGCCATTCACTCATTAATCAGAGTGGTTCTTTTAAAGGAAAAGTCAAATCACAAACTTGCTTCAGTGCTACAATTCCTTTCTCTGGACACATAGAATAAATAAATTATTTGCTAGATTTTCTACTTAACTCTCCACTTATGCTGTCCCACTGGCACTGGCCATCATTCTGTTCCTCAGCAGACCAAGTTATTTTTCATTCTGTTTTACCACTTTAAAATAATGTCTGTATTATCCTGATTTTCAAATGGCTGGCTTTTTCTTAACTCTAAGAACTCAGTTCAAGCATTACCTATTCAATGAAGCACTTCCTAGCCAGCAGTCTGGAATAGGTGCTAATATACACTTTAATTCTCAGGAGAACATGTAGCACCATCTCTTACTTTTCTTGA